TATTAAAGCAAAACGTTGCCCAAAATATACTAAATCATTTTTGACTTATATAATATACATACATACACCTGTATTAATAAACGAATTATATTACTCACTTGTCTGGTTAAAAATACGAAAATTGACTTTGTGGGTGCCTCCATTTTTTTGGCCTCGTTCTGTAGAATAAAAGAAAAAGGAAAGGGAAAATAATCAATAGTGGGTGGAGAAAAAAGAAAATCAGAGACAATAAATGAAATACAAAAAGACGAATAGGAAGCTTCTTCTATATACAATGTCCCTTCAGAGCATGGATGATTCTGCCTCTCCACAACTTCCTTTTGTTTGTAGCTATAATAAACAATGGTCCCTTTGCTAATTCTCCAACTTCACAAAAGCTCGTCAAGTAGATAGACTCGCTGCCTTCCCTTGTTTGTTTCGCTTTCTATATATCCTTTGAGTGTTATATTCTCCAAGACTTCTTTCCTCATTCGCCCATGTCTTTCTGAATGTTCTTTTTGCTTCTTTTTATCTCAAGATTGTTGCTTACACGCTCTTTTCACCGTATTCTCAATATCATTATAATAAAAATTGTGATATTTAATTTTTTTTTATCGACAGACAGAGCAAAAGAAAAACAAACAGGAAGGTTGTAGTAGGAACAGTGCTGGCTCGTCAAAGACACTGGAACAAAGAACACTATTATATATGCTCAGAATGTTATCAGAAAGAGAAATACAAATGCAGAAGGTCGTGTTCCTGTTTTTCATAGATTACACAAAGGCATTCGACAAAGTACACCACAAAGAACTGCTAAGCCACCCTGACATATTTGCGAAGGCTATTAGAATAATCAAGAACCTATAATGGCAACAGTCTGCAGACTTATAGACAATTATTTCAGCATATATAGAAAAATAGAAAGATGTGTATGTTATGTCTTCTCACCTGATTTCAGTTAATTATGTGCTATGCGTGATACACGACTAGGGGATCAAGTATTTTTCGATACATGACTGACGATGCAGATATTTTCCCGCAGTAGTTTGCCATTTTTTTCTGCGGTAGACCAGTTGCCATCCAAGGCTTTAGAATGCGGTCTGTCCTGCTATTTACCCATATCTGGAGGGGAAGAAGAAAAGGATTTATACCTTTCCAAAGGGTATTAACACGTAAGTGAATTTTAGTCAGTAATGTGCCATGCGTGATACACGACTTAGTCGATCATGTATTTTTCGATACATGACTGACGAGGCAGATTTTTTCCAGCAGTAGTTTGCCATTTCTTTTTGCCGTAAACCAGTTGCCATCCAAGGCTATAGAACCCGGTCTGTTCTGCTATTTACCCATAGGTGAAGGGATAAGACGAGGATTCATACCTTTCCCAATAGTATGAACACGTAATTCGACGGAAAAGTGCGACACTAAAATCCGAAGGCGCGTCGAGATAGCTAAAGGGGCCTTCCTAAATCTAAGCAGAGTACTAAGATAAAGAAAAACTTCGATAGAAACATGGGGAATAGTACCAAACTGTTATGCTATATTTGTCCTCCTGTCAATGTTGGATAATCTCCTCAAAGACGAAGAAAAACTTGTAGCAACAGAAATGTGTCACTACAAACGGTTGCTGAGGAAACCACAGACCGAATATGTGAGCAATGACGAAGTTCTAGAGAAAATGGAAACAAAAAGGAAACTTATACTTAACATCAGGAAGAGACATGAAATTTCTACAGAAGGATGCTGAGGATACCAGGGACCGAATATGTGAGTAACGACAATGTTTTAGAGGAAATAGAAACAAAAAGGAAACTTATAATTTACATCAGTAACAGATAATTGAAATTTCCAGGGCACATAATGAGGAAAGAGGGTTTGGAAAATTTGATACTCACAGGACAGATATGAAAGCACGAAGAAAGAGAAAAACAACATTTAACATACTTAGTGAGCTTGAGTTTAATGGATGGCGGAAGAGGATTTAGGAGAAATAACATAAAGACAAAAATTATTAAGAACTACAAAGAACATGAAGATGTGGAGGTGATCGCCTGTGTCTTGATGGGACTCACAACGTAAAGGAGAAGATTAGTATCACAGCGAGGTCTCATCGTTTTGCAGCTGAATTGTCTTGATGTGACAGTAATTCATTATCTATAATAAAGAAAATTAAAATTGCTTACCCATCGTCAAAAATAATAATTCACCTGCAAAATCCAAATTACAGAGAACGAATATTATTCACGAACGTATCACAGCATTTACAACAGCATGTCTGTCCACATTCGCAACTGAGAAAAATTCTTGTTGACACATCTATAATTTTCCTGAAAATAATAAACATAAACTAAAAATTCTTGGAGTTATCTATATAAAAAAATTGAAACCAACCCTGAATAAAATTAATTATGAATACTACAAAAATATTTTAAAATATTTACAGTAGATAGTTTAAAATTTCTAGGTTTTAATAGTTTTTTTTAAAATAAAAACATATGAACATTGCAAACTTAGTTACATCTCCTGAGGTTTCAAAAGATAAATTTAAACAGTGCAGTATATAACCTTGGCGTTTTTTACTTCACAGTTAAAAGATTTTTCAACGAAACTTGCATAAAAGATGAATTGCAGTCCAAATACACAATATATATATATGAAGAAAAATATACTGAAAAAACAAACAAAAATCCTAATATGCGATTATGCTGTTTTAATGTTTAATGTCAACGTCGGACGTTTCGGTCTAACATACCATCTTCAGGACATATTCATAAAACATAATTAACATAGACCATATACAATTCACCATGAAAAAGACGATGGACATAAAAGCAATACCAATCCAAACAGATAACTGAAATCCGACGTTGACATTAAACATTAAAACAGCATAATCGCATATTAGGATTTTTGTTTGTTTTTGCAGTATATTTTTCTTCATACTGTCGGATCTATATCCATATATTCGCTTATATATATATATATATATATATATATATATATATATATATATATATATATATATATCCGCGTGCGTCACACATTTTTTGTAAGAAAATGATGATTGATTTTAAATCATTTTTGTAATTTGTAGGAAAAAAATAATGCATTTCAGTATTAATCAATGATCTTGCCAATGTGACCTCCATCTTCTGGCTTTCTCCTTCTATATTTTAGATAGGAGTCATTCGCTTGTTCAAATTTAAATCTAATTTAAATCAGAGGGAAATTTTTCATTGGGTGTGTGTGTGTGTGCAAAAACAGCTTAATCTGACCCACTTTGATATGTATTTGATGCAATACTTGATTGAATGAATTGATGAGCAACATCGATATGACAGTTGAATTGTAGCAACAAATATGTATTGTAAGGCAATACTCACTGATTGGTGATTTCTTGCTCAACTTGACGTCCATAATGTTTCCTTTTGATGTGACCTCCATCTTTTGACTTTCTCCTATATTTTGAATAGGAGTCAATCTCTTATTCAAATTTAAATTTAATTTAAATTAAAAGGAAACAAATTTCAGTGAGGGTGTTGTGCTCCCAACGCATCCGCCCCCTTTTGTTCAAAATGAAATATACTTATCCAAGTACTCTGGGTAACGTAGTTTCAGAACAGATATCGTTATGGGAGTCTGTCTTCAAAAACCTAGGAGTTCGATAACAAACACGCTACAACTTTATATATATAGATATACACACATATGGAGAGAGATAGTGTGCGTGTGTGTGCGTGTATTTATATATGCTTATATATATATATATATATATATATATATATATATATATGAAGGGAGTTGCATGTCTATCCCTGTAAATGCAGGTATGTGTGTATATAACCGACCTTTTCTAATCTACGGCTATCTATTTTTATCTTTGCACCTAACAGTTCAATATTCATGTTCCGATCCGTTTAAATATCGATTAATGGATCGATACAGGAACATTTTCCATGCGCTTACATGTCATTTGCTTTTTGTTTTGCTTCTGTGTAGACGAATTTGAAACTAATGGCAGACATCGGAAGTTGGCGAGTGAAATGGAAAATGCAAAAACAAAACCAAAATACGTTGCGTCGATGCAAAGATTTCCAGCATTTTTTTTTCAGAAGATCTTTTATTCCCCATGACTTCATAGCATCATTATTCAGTCATCAATATCATCTTCACTCTTTCTATAGGGTGCGATCGATAAATTGTCGTCTAAATTACGCAAAAAAAAAAAAATAAATAAATATCACTGATATCTCATTTTAACAAATATATTTACTAAAATTACGCCAAAATATCTTGAAATACGAAAGAGTAAATCTCTTCAATAAAATCGCCACGGCATCCAGATGTGTTTGGAATCTCCTGATATTCTTATGGACGGTCTCCTTGTTTAAGTTGGTGAATGCTGCCATAATCCTTGTCTTCAGTTCATGTCTGATGCTATAAAGAGTCTTGTTGGTCTCTCGCTCAACTGCATCGCACGCATAATACTCAAGGTGGTTGCAGTCTGGGAAGTTAGATGGCCATATTTAAGGGGTAATCTGGTCGCAGAAATTGTCTGACAGACCTGACTGGGTTCCCCTGTTTGTATTGCATAGTGCAGAAACCTGTTGCCACATATAGGGTCTTCCAGCAGCCACCCTCTTGACCCAATGCCAGCAGTACAGTATACCGTTTCCGAATTTCTGGTGAAGTGAATTGTGTCTAGGTGCACTTTTCTTTTCTCACAGACGGTGCCCAACTGACCCTACTTTATCGTGCAATTGGCAAAATCAAAAACAAACAACGGAAATTAAAAATATAAAATGGCAATAATTTATCCATCACACCCTGTATGTCTTTGCATCATCTTTCAAATAAATTGCGCAGTAAATCATATCAACTCTTAGGACCACATTGAAACACCGGATCCCGTCCTATCGCCAAAGTTAAGCAACGTCGAATCTGGTCAATCTTTATATGGGTGACCGCTTGGAAATATATGGTGTTGTAAGCTTGGATATATGCGAATGGTAAATGGCCTCACGGCCACATCACGTTGAAACACCGGATCCCGTCCTATCACCGAAGTTAAGCAACGTCGAGTGTGGTCAGTATCTTGATGAATGCCCTCTAGAGAATACCAGGTGCTGTAAGCTTGGATGTGCGGATGGTATAAAGAGCTTACGGCCACATCACTTTAAACATCTGTTCTCGTCCGATCACAGGAGTTAAGCAACGTCGAGTCTGTTCAGTACCTAGATGGGTGACCCCTTGGAAATACCAGGTGTTGTAAACTTGGATATGTGGATGGCATTATGGGCTTACGGCCACATCACATTGAAGCACCACTTACCAACCGATCACCGAAGTTAAGCAACGCCGAGCCTGGTCAGTACCTAGATGGATGTACGAGTGGTGTAGTGGATAACGGTTTGGACCTGTTAATCGGAGAGCCGAGTTCCAAAACCCGTTAGGTTCGTTATAACGACTTACGCGCACCTATCGACGGTAAAATTATGAATCGGTCTTTTCTCCTTAGTATGGGTTAATTAGTAAGTCTTGTATTACTAAACATTTATTATCTTTAAAAAAATCTAAAATATTTTCTGGCTTTAAATAACATGTAAATGGTTGATAAACCGTAAAAAACAAATTAATCAATAATATGAAGCGGATACACAAGTGTAGATGCGCAGTTAGAAGTGTAAAATGGGAGAATCGAGTTCTGTTTCCCGTCAGCTTCTTTGCATTCACTTATATCTCCCTCTAGATATGGATTAAAAAGTAAGGCTTGAATCCGATAAAATTATTGTTATTGTCAGATAATGTAATATTCACTCGCAAAAGGAAGAATTACTTTTACAAAACAGAATGTTTCCAATTTAAAGACGCTAAAAGGTGCTGATAAGACGTAAAAAACAACCAGTCAATGTTTCTGGCATTTCTTTTGACAAAATATTTTATTCATATAAATTCATAGCATCATTATTCAGTCAAAAATATATTTTGCCGCCTTTCTATGTCCTTACATCCGTTTCCAGCTAAACTGTGCATTCATTCATATTATTAACGGGATACAAACGTTTTCAGTGACCTTTCAACAATATCAGCTGCATTTTCAAATCTTATTGTTTTTCTCCTCTCTCCCTCCTCTCTCCTTTTCCCTCTCTGTCTTCATATATATATATATATATATATATATATATATATATATATATATATATAATTTATGAAAAACTAGGTAATCCGTATGGGTAAACCTAAGGAGGATAAAATCCAGACAGCTCAATGTAAATTCAGAGCAAATAATTTAAATAAAAACAAACCACTTTAAGGTTCCATGTAATAAATTATTTCACCACAGCCCTTTTAAAAGGACTGCGGATCATCAGACTTTACTTCCAAACAAAAAATGAAAAGAAAATTTACACATTTTTGACGGGCCGTATTAAACAAATGTAAATTAACGAAGTGAGGAAGTGAAGGGGGGGAGTGAGAGAAGACATGAGTGAGTCAGCAGATATTGACACATTTAAACGGTTAACTTAACAGAAGTTATATGTTGATATCGAAGGGGTAGAGAAGAAAAAACCCATAGAGAGAAAAAGAGGGAAGGAAGTTAAGAGAGAAGGTGTCACTAAATTTTCTTTGTAAAAAAAAAGGCTAGAAACAGACGCTGTTATTTTGTTTTACTTTGAAAGTGTTATTTTGGGGGTTCATAAAGATTATAATGTTTGATATAAATTTGAATGTCTCTAAACTGTCTACAAATAATTTAATTTGATGTCTGTTCGGGATTTTAATTTTTTTTTTTAATTTTTGAGATTTTCTATGAAATACTCGATTAGAAAATATTCATAGAAAGTACATTAAAAGAATAAGTTTTTATTTCATTCATATGTGTCTATATATATATATATATACACAAAACACACACACACACACACACACACACATATATATATAGAGTTGAATATATAGATATTCACGAAATAAATTATAACCGAAATATAAATATTTAGGTTTTCTTTTTTATTATAATCAAAAAGAAAACCTAAATATTTATATTTCGGTTATAATTTATTTCGTGAATATCTATATATTCAACTCTTCAGACCGAAAACTTTTAGTAAATGAAGACAATACTCCAGGCTGGTATATTAGATTGACAAGGAGAAGGGAAAGCAAGAGAGAAGAAAAAGAGAAGGTGGGGAAGAAGAAAAGTCACGGGTGGCCAGGTTCTTATAAAAAGTGAGATAGAGAGAGGCCATGGAAAAGAAAGGGAAAAAGGAAGTAATGAATGAGTAATAGTAAGCATAACATGTCTAACCAGACGAAGAATTTTTTCCTTAAAGTGTGGAATATTGTACACCGGATTATACAGAAAATTGACCGATATGGCCCGTTAATTTAGGCAGGACAAATCAACTTAATTCCAAATTAGAAAATCTAATAAAAAGGTCCTTAATACAAATATTGAAGAAAAAATACAATAATGCTAATAATATCAACCATAAATGAAGGGATTTTAAATACAGAGAAATAGTAAAGCTAACATTAGAAAACTAAAACTAATAATAGAAAATGAGCAGGATGAAGTGTGGATAATGATACAAAAGATCTTAATTTAGAATTATAAATGTTGTAAACATCGTCAAGGGCCATAGACCCAACTACATATGAAGAAACACACAAAAATAAAATCATGTGATAAAAAATATCAACACGCATCCTCACATACACATATACATACACACATACATATATACATACGCATGAATGCATGTACACCCATATGTGCTATTACCCAAGTAACGAATCATAAGTGAAGATATTTTAAATACAGATAATAAAGCTAAAATTAGAAAACTAAAACTAAAAAAATGTTCTTAGGGATGTTAAATTTGTTCTTATGTCTACACTTGAAAATCAGTTCGTTCCGTTGATTTAACTCACCTTTGTTAAATTCTAACCGAAATAAATATTTAAGGTTTTCTTCTTGATCATTAAAATTCATCTAAATTGAGCTCTCCATGGATTAATATCCTCATTGGAATTACCCCTATAAGTCACAAATTGGTATATATATATATATATATATATATATATATATATATATATATATATATATATATATATATCAGCAAAGTGACAAACCTATTATATATATATATATATATATATATAACCTCGTTGAAAACACTACTACACGTAAACATGAGAACAATAAACAAAAATTAAAAATTCTTCAAGCTATATACAGAAAACAGTTGAAACCTAACCTGAACAAAATAAACTATGAAATCTCCACAAATATTCTTCAATGCCTCTAATTGATAACAGAAGCCATTGGTTTATACCAACGATTTCCCATACTTAATACTTCTCGTTTTCACTCTCGCGTGGTCTTGTGTGACATCACGAGCTGCGATGCGATTTTCGCTTCCGCATCTCGTATACACGAGTTTGTCATTATTGATTTGTCTGTGTATTGTTGGATATATTAAAATGTAATTGTCAGCTTTGATAATGGCTTACGTAAGCCGAAAGCTTAGATAGGATTAAAACGTGTATAAATATGGTGATTTCTTAGCAGACATATGAAAGGAAATTACATAAAATAAATAGACAAAACTTGTCTATATTATTAAATGAAACATGCATCAATGTATATATATGTACATATATATATATATATATATATATATATATATATATATATATATGTACACACACAAACACACACTCACAAACACATACACGCACATATATATATCTATCATGAATGATTTCATGTATATATATATATATATATATATATATATATATATATATATACAATGGTCAAACACTAATATTCCATGTTTATAATTTATTACATTGGAATCGTAATCACGATCCAATTCATCAGACCTACAAATTCAAAAGGTTTGAGGAATTGGATCGTGATTACGATTCCAATGTAATAAATTATAACCATGGAATATTAGTGTTTGAGCTTTTATATTATATACTTGCTCTGTCTTAGACATTGAGCTCTACCTGGATTCTATCCTCTTGGGAATTTCATATATATATATATATATATATATATATATATATATATATATATATATATATATATATATATATATTGTATATATATATATATATATATATATATATATATATATATATATATATATATATATATATATATGATATTAGTGGTCAATATATATATATATATATATATATATATATATAATATGTTGTATATGAATAATTTCTTCAACGTCTATGATGGAGAAAAATTTATTTTGTATAGATACTTATTTCTCAAAATAATCTCCTTTCTTGTCAATGCACTTCATTCAGTAGTAAAAATGAATCATTAATAAATGTACAGGAAAAATATCCGAGAAAAATCCCTGTTCCTTCTGCAGACAAATCAATCTATCGAATATGATATCTTTTAGACATTTTTTTCAATAATATCCGGAATACGACACCAATGAAGGAAACCGCTGTTCCTTCTGCAGGTAAACCGATCTGTAGAATATGATATCTGTAATTTTTTTTATTTTTATTTAATTAGTGTCTAGAATACAACACCGATGAATGGAATCGCTTTTTCTTCTGCAGGTAAACCGATCTATAGAATATGATATATTCAATAATTCTATGTTTTTTGATGTTTGGTATAAGACATCCATGAAGGGAATCGCTGTTCCTTCTGCAGGTGTACTGATTTATAATATATGATATATTTAAGAGTTTTTATTTGATTAGTATCTAGAATACGACACCAGTAAAAAAAATCGCTGTTTGTTCTGCAGGTAAACGGATTTATAGAATATGATATCTTTAAAAGCTTTTATTTTATTGATATCTATAATAGGACATGAATGAAAGTAATCTCTGTTTCTTCTGTCGGTTAACAGATCTATAGAGTATGATATCTTTAACAGTTATTATTTGATTGGTGTCTAGATTACAACTCTAGTGAATGGAATCAGTGTTCTTTCTGCAGGTAAAACGATCTATAGAATATAATATCTTTAAACGATTTTTTGGTGTCTAAAATACAACACAAATGAATTGAATCGCAGATCCTTCTACTGGTAAACCGTTCGATTAGAATATGATATCCTGAAAAGCTTCATTTGATTGGTGTTTAGAATACGGCACCAATGAATGGAATCGCTGTTACTTCTGCAAGTAAACCGATCTATAGAATATGATATCTTGAAAGGCTTCTTTTTTTAAAATTTGTTTCTAGAATACGACACCAGTGAATGTAATCGCTGTTCCTTCCACAGGTAAACCTATCTATAGAATATGATATCTTTAAAAGTTTATAATTTTTTGGTGTTTATAATACAACATCAAAGAATTGAATCGCACTTCCTTCTACAGGTAAACTGATCTATAGAATATGATATCTTTAAACGCTTTTCTTTTCTTTTTCTTTTTTTTTTTTGGTGTCTAAATTATGGTACAAATAAATGAATTCTCTGTTACTTTTGCAGGTAAAACAATATGTATAATAGTTTTTTTTGCTTTGTTTTTTTTAAATTAGTGACTAAAATACGACACCAATAAATTGAATCACTGTTCTTTCTGCAGGTAAACCGATCTATAGAATATATCTTTAATAGTTTTATTTGATTAGTGTTGAGCTTACCTCACCAGAGAATCGAATTGTAGTTCCTTCAACAGGCATACTAATCTACTAGAATATGTTATCTTGTATAGTTTTTTTTTATTTGTTTCTAGAATATGACACCAGTGAATTTAATCGCTGTCCTTCCATATTTAAACCTATCTATAGAATAAAATATCTTTAAAAGTTTATAATTTTTTGTGCCTATAATACAAAATCAAAGAATTGAATTGTAGTTCGTTCTACAATTAAACTGATCTATAGAATATATCTTTAAAAACTATTATTTTATTGGTATCTATAATAGGAAACCAATGAAATTAATCTCTCTTCCTTCTGCAGTTTAACTGATCTATAGAATATGATATCTTTAAACGCTTTTCTTTTCTTTTTTTTGGTGTCTAAATTATGGTACAAATAAATGAATTTTCTGTTACTTTTGCAGGTAAAACGATATGTCTAATAGTTTTTTTGTTTTTGTTTTTTTTTAACAGTTTTTCTGCAGGTAAACTGATCTATAGAATATATCTTTAATATTTTTATTTGATTAGTGTCAAGCTTACCACACCAGAGAATCGACTCGTAGTTTCTTCAACACGTATATCAATCTATTAGAATATATCGTGAAAAGCTTTTTTTGTTTGTTTGTTTCTAGAATACGACACCAGCGAATATAATCGCTGTTCTTTCTACAGGTAAACGGATCTACAGAATACAATATCTTGAAAAGCTTTTATTTAATTTGCGTCTAGAATATGACGCCTATGATAAGTATCATCATTTTCCTATCTGTAGATGATGTGCTCTCTCGTATATGCTATCTTTGAAATATTTTTGAAAGTTGTAAAGAAGAGGACGCCAATGTAAGCAATTCCCATTCTAGCTGCAGGTAAATGCGTCTATTTTATATTCCAGTTGGAACTGATTGCTTTGTCTTTTACGGCGCTAATGGAAATGCTTCATCTTCCACTGGCCATATTGTGTAACACCAAGAACTGTGTTCTTCTTCATTAAAATATTTTATGATTGTCTTTCTTCAGAATTTTGTTTCTGCTTTATTCAAATAAGAACATTTTTATTTAACCTTTACTACCCAACTGACAAAATTATATTACGCTTAATTTATCCCCACAAAAAGGGTAAGAAACTTCCTCAAGTGAACCCATGAAAGTGGATGATTGCAGACTCGAATATAAAAAGGCTCAACATTTTTTACTCAATTTCTTCCACAACCAAGGCAATAAAGCTACTAAGACACAAGGAGTTGCTGAGTGTGGAAGAATTAGATCCAGAAACATTACTAATGAGCGGGAAGAGGAAAGAGTAATCAGGAGGGCAGTAGTTAGCGATTGACATATAAATGTTTGCATATTAAAGTTGGCTTGAAAGCATGGAGCTATCAGGAAGTACCACAAGCGAGAAGTGCGAGAAAAAAGTGTTAGCATGGAATTTACGGCGACATCTAGCCAACTCAACTGTAAATTGACAAAACCTCGGCGACAGTCTAGTATTGGGCTTAAATTCATGAAGTCCAGGTAACATAGCGAAGAACTCATCCGAACAATTACCATGAAAGTATTTATAGAAAATATACAGGGAGGCAACCTTAAGACAGGGGAAAAAAAGTTTGCTTTTTTTATTCTCATGCATGAAAACATTGTCTACACTTTTTGTTTCTCGAGCCAAATGGACCATTTTCTTGATCATAGTTTAAACAGGACCGTATGTATATTTTTTATTATTATTTTTGACTCAGATAAAAACCGGAAAAATGTCTGTGCATTCTTAATCTCGGCTCGGGCTTGGTCCTAGCTTTTGCTCCCCCCCCCGTGGAAACCGGACCTATGTCTGCGCATTTTGAATTTCGGGCAAATCGGACTAGGTTCTAGCTTTGCCC